GAAGAAAAAATAAATAAATATACGTTTTAAAAGTTTTAACTCTACTAGTAAGAGGTAGAGCGCATTTACATAATAGAGGCCACATGCCTCGTCGAAAAGAAGATGTAGAGGGCGTATCTGCATGGCATGAGAAATTGTCTACTTCATAAGAACGTCACTAGAGCGTTATCCTACTATAATATCTTCACACAACGGTTGCACTGACCCCGCATAATCTATTATAAATAGGTAGATATATTTTTACCCCAATTTCCAAATAATGGTTGAAATAATACATTTTTGGTTTCGGTTATGAATTTGTGCAATAAAATAACAAATATGTTTAAATAACTTTTCTTTATTTCCCCAAATATTTTGGAGTTTTTTTTGTAAGTATTTGTCATACTTAAGTTGGAACCATATAGAAAACTTTTATTATTGGTTTTGTAAAAAAATGTGTTAATGAATAAAAGTGCTGTATGGTACAAAACTTTTTTAAGCCGTATACGAGGTTTGTCAAAAAATATGAATTTTACTCAAGAGTAATTTACCTTTTTTTTTTCACAATACAGTAAAGTCATTTTGAATTAAAAGTTATATTCACACTCATTTAGCATGAACATTCAGGTTAGGTGATTGTTTATGCTTTATATTATAAAATAAGTGTAGTTATAAATTGAAACCTCTAGATGCAAAAGCAGTTTTGAGAAAATCGCTAAAAATTTGCCACTATCCTTAGATTAAAGAGACCGAAGATGTAACATTGCACACTGCGCATGTTGTCTATTTTAACCCAAAGTAACCCACCAATTGAAAATCATTGTTTGCACGACGCCACCCGAATTGCTCCGATTTTTCCATTCATCGATCACCTCCACCTGAGTTTAATCACCATTGACAGCTGTTTTTTGATTTATTTGTTGGTATTTTAGCAATTTAAAGTGCTCTAGTTATTCAATTTCAAGTTTAAAATGCCACGATGTATCTTGAAAAAATGTACGTACTTATAATACAAGTACTAATGTTATGAACATATTCGTTTTCAGCACTAAATATTTATTAACGTTTTGACATAAAGCGCCATGATTCTCTGGGCTGAATACTTCAGATCCGCATTAAGGGGTTTTAATAAATATTAATCATCCGAAATCAGATTTCATATTACTTACATAAATTTACAAAAAGATAAAATTTTGAACATTTAATTTAAATAAAAAGTAAATAGGCATTGTTGCTAACGAAATTTTGTATTTAAAAAGTAGTTTTATAAGAATGTTTTCTAAAGGTGATTTTAAGCCCTTTTTGGTAAATAAATAAGAAGTAAAGAATCATAGTTGCTAGCTAAATTTTATTTTTATAAGGTATTTTTATAAGAATATTAGATGAAATACAGGATGACCTACTTAAAATTACAAGATTCATCTTATTTGCGGTCAAATCGAAAGTGACATTTGAATCTTCAGTCTTAAAACAAAGTAAAACGCACCATATGATCTAGTATAAGCAAAAAAAAATACTAAAGTTACAGGAGTTGGTCACATTAATAAAATGTTACATTACAAACCCCTAAACAACTCGAACAAAATTTTCGTTTACTAAAAAAATCCAAAATTTAGCAATATTTATTATTTATTATACAATCGAATGCGGTTTCAAAGATAAGGTGATCAAAAAATCCGAATCTCTAAATTTTTGAGCTAAACGCTCGGATAAAAGCAAACGACCGATAGTGGTTACAAAAATAATCGATTTATCGATAATTCTGATATTTTTTTTATGAAAATCGATTTATCCGCTGTTTTTAATAAATTATTTTTGTTTTTTTAAATACAAAAAAAGTAGATTTATTCAAAATAATCGATTTTCGTTCAATCGGTTTTTTCATTATTCGATTGAATATAATCGGTTATTTTATATAACCGATATTTTGGTTATTTTTTAAAATTATCGATTTATTGGTTGATCAGCTTTTTAATAATCGATTATTTTTGATATTCGAATAATCAATTTTAAAGGAAATATTAAAAAAAAAGGATTATTAGAAAATAATCGATAATTCGTTTTATTTGTTGGAAAATCGATTTAACATAGAATCGGCTTCTTAATTAATTGGTTATTTTCGATTAGGCGATTATTTTGAAATTATCGATTATTTTCGATATTTCAAAGATAATCGAATTATCGAATTCTAAAGGAAATACAATAAAGTAGATTATTGATAATAATCGATCGATGAAAAATAATCAATTATTTAAAATATTCGATAATTTTGTTTTTTTTTTTTTTTGAAAATTGATTTATCAGTTAATCGACTTTTTAATTAATCGATTATTTTTGATTAATCGATTTTTTCGATTTTTCAAATAATCTGTTTCAATGGACGAAAAAAATGGATTATTAGAAAATAATCTATAATTCGGTTATTTTTTGGAAAATCGATTTATCGTAGAATCGGCTTCTGAAATAATTAGTTATTTTCGACAGACGATTATTTAGGAATAATTTATTATTTTTGGTATTTCAAAGATAATCGAATTATCGATTTTAAAGGAAATACAATAAAAATAGATTATTGATAATAATCGATTGATCGAAAATAATCGATTATTTAAAATAGTCGATCATTCTGTTTTTTTTTGTGAAAATCGATTTATCAGTTAATCGACTTTTTAATTAATCGATTATTTTTGATTAATCGATTATTTTCGATTTTTTAAAAATTATCAAATAATCTGTTTCCACGGACGAAAAAAAATGGTTTATTTGAAAATAATCGATTATTTAAAATAAACGATTATTTAAAATAAACGATAATTCTTTTTTTATTATATTTTGTAAACACTGTTTTATCGGTTAATTGGCTTTTTAATTAATCGATTATTTTTGATTTTTCAAAGATAATCAAGTAGTCAATTTTAAAGGAAATGACAAAAAAATATGTTGTTTGAAAATAATCGATTGATCGAAAATAATCGATTATTTTCAATGATCGATAATTTATTTCAATAATCACTCATCCCTAGCGACCAAATTACTTTTAATAGATTTAAATTTTAAAGTGTTTTCTGGTTTCAGACATATGCATTTCTAGAGTTTTATGTGACTCATCCTTTATAATAATTAATATTCCTAAAGAAAGAAGCCTTAACATACCTTTTTCTGAGGTTATAATACAAAACAGCATTTTCCCATTTTGACTAATTTTTATTATTATGTAATAGCCGTAGAAAAAATATAATGTTCAACTCACATGCTATTTTTATAATACTCGTAGACAATGAGTAACATTTTTTGCTCTATCAATAATATATTCTGGTGGAAGAGCACTTTCTTCTTCGCTAAATGCGGTCGTTTTTGCTTCAAATCATCGTCGAATCGGTCCAACAGCTTTGAGTAATAATCGCCGGTGATGGTTTTGCCCTTATCAAGGTAATCGATATGAATAATACCGTGCGAATCCCAAAAACTGTGGACATGACCTTGTTGGCAGACAGATCTACCTTGGCTTTCTTTGGCTTTGACTCGCCCTGAGAAACCCTCTACTTTAACTGTTCCTTCATCTCTGGTGTATTGTGATGAATCCATGTTTCATACACGGTTACAAAACAGCGCAAAAAGTCCTTCTTATTGTGGTTAAACACTCCTTTGAAGTTGTCATACAATTTCGCTTGTTGTCGGCATTGAGTAAACGCGGCACTCATCTGGCAGTAAGCTTCGCCATTCCCAAATATTCGTGCAATATATTCTCCACTCGTTCACGTGAGATTCCCGCAGATTCAGCAATCTCAGTAGTTTATATTTGCAATTTTATTCCTGCCAAAATTTATTCCAATGGCCAATGCACAAATTTTTAAACTCCAAGTTTATAAACCTAATCTAAACAGAAGAAAATCAAATAAAATAATTTTTATTGAATACTATTCCACCAAGGTATTGCGATAAGTTAACCAATGTAAAAATGTTATTCTTAAACTAAATATAAAAAGAAAAATGCTTATAAAATTTACTTGGCAACGAGTCAAATACAGTATTTATTTCTTTATTTGCTTGGAACTTCTTGTCTTTGGGCTGTAGTGAGCATTAGATTTCTTCGACTTCTGACTAACTTTCTTCGACAGCTTCTTTTTTTCGGCCGAGTGTGATGAAATTATTGGATTGACTGGCGATGACGTAGATCCTTGTTGACATCTGCTATTTACTTTCGTTTCTGTCTCCTTCCTCTGAGTCACAGGAAGAGACTAGACTTTCTTCTAATTCTTTGAGATCTTCTACTGTATATAGTTTGTCTTTGATATCCAGTGAAAAACCTTTTATGCGGGCAGAAAGATTTTGGATTTTGGCTTCTTTTAAATGATGTACTAATATCCTTTGTTTAGTTCGGTCTTCGTGGGAAGCATCGTTGGCTATCGCTATACCAGTACCCTTCAATTTTTTAATGTTTTTATATATATATATCTTGTTTTTTTTTAGGAAAGAAATAAATTCTAAAACAATAGTTTCTTTTTTGTCCAATAGGTTGTTTAAATTGTCAAATTTAATTTATTTTTTACGACCATACCAAAAATTACTATGTTATTTTTTCGCACTTTTCTCTCAACAGAATTAATCTTATTTTGAAGTAACCCTACTAACTTTTTGTTTTCTTCAAGATCAATCACAACATTATCAATTATGCTAGAGATTTCTTTTTTTATAATATTTGTCTGCAATGAATTAGCCTTTGCTACAATTTTTTCAATAAGGGTAGTTAGATCTACATGAGTAGTTTTCTTAACATAACAGTTAAATATGTGTAATATTATAATACGAAACACAAAATATAATACAATGTACGTGTACAGAGGCAAATAAATATCAAAACTGCAGAAGAAAAATGTTCTGTTTAAAAACTTAAAAGGTTTAGATATTCATATAAAGCCCTTTTAAAATTGATCATATAATATGAATTATCCAATCTATATTGCTCATTAAGCGTAAATTTAAAAGACTATTCTTAACAACATTTCCCTTCTTTTTTTTAGAAAATGATGGCCGACCTAGAAAAATTTCTTCTGGACGAACTTACTTGTCCCTCATGTTATAATTACATGTGTCCGCCGATAAATCAGTGTCAAAAAGGTCACAACGTATGTAATGAATGTTTTCCCAGGGTCAACATCTGCCCTAAATGCAGAGCCCCGAAAAGTAATACATCAAGAAACTACGCCCTCGAAGCGATCCACGGAAGGCTTCTCATTCCATGCAAATATCAATATCTCGGCTGCGACTACATATGCTTAGGGGAAACTATCAAAAACCATCAGAAATATTGCAAGTTCACGAAACAAGAGTGTCCTTTTTCGTCATATGATAATTGTCAGTGGAAGGATTCGATTATAAAGCTAAAGACTCATTTGCTAAAGAAACATTCTCATAATTTTTATCAGAAAGACAAACAGAAGTTCATATCGCAACATTTTAGGAATATTAGTAATTACCATTATATTTTTGCTGTTATATACGTCTTCGACAATTACTTTAGATTAACATGGGATATTAATGAAGGAACAGGTAAGTTATATTATTAAATATTAACAAATAGGCAACTAAGAGTAAAAATAGACAATAATTTAAATTGTCACAAGATTGGTCCAATATTTTTCTTAATAAAAAGCATTTCTAAAATAAACAATTTTTATGGAAAATTTGTTTTTTTATGAAGATGATACAGAAATAGTAATTACTAAAAAAAGCTACTTGTTTGCTTTAATTATAATCTTTTAAGTTTAAATACACAAAAAACAGATTTTTTGCATTTTTTTCACACAATAATATTAAATATTAAATTGCATAGTCATAAATACACAAAAATGAATTTCTACAAAAAGCATCAGAAACAAAATACTAATTGTGATTGATCAACATGTATGATGGACTAAGTACGTTAATTATCTCAATATAAAGTCTTTAAAACCTAATTTATCTATGCTACAATTTTAAAATAGTAGGCACTAAATTCTCAAAAATGGTTGTGACGTGTTTGCGTTAACCTGTCCCTTCCAGTGGCGTTCGAAAAATATCGTAAAAGGTTCAGGATAGGAAACTTTTTTGTTCGACTTTAATTACCTATTATTTTTAATGAAACATTTTATTTCACATAACAAATTACATCACAAAAAAAAATACATCAATTTCTTCTTACAATTACTTTTATTAAATATTTTAAATAAAAATCAACTAACTTTGGTTCAGCACATAACCAAAAATTGTCATGGTCTAAACTATAAAATAACAATTTTTGGCTTTCGTTATAACTAATTGTCCTTGTACCTGATAATAATAATTATCTTTTTTTTTTTCAATTTAACATCTGTATTGGCTAGATATTGTCATGATATCCCTAATCCGACCCTGTGCCTGTGTATGCACGCGGCCTTCACATGGCAACCAATTCGTGATCGAAGCAACGCTGACGTGTGGAAACAGCCGGACCGCGTCTCGAATGTAAAAGAATACGACGGAATGTCTGCCGCTGAAGCACTAGAAGCGACTGGAATGGCGGAGAGTGCCGCTTAGTCATTAAAAGGAATGTTCGAAAGCCTCTCGTATTTTCCAGTAGCGGACTTGGACTAATATAAATAGCCGACGTATCAGCGCCGAGTTTAGTTTAATGTAGAACATTGTATTGAAAAGTTAAAGCGAAAGAAATAAATTATAATTGTTAAATATTACATAAATTAAATAGTACGTCTGAAATAAATTGTAAATAGTGTGTTTTTACATAAATAAACTTTAAATAAATTAGACTTTCATCACAATATTTAATATTTTTTCTTGAATTCCCATTTCTGGTGTCAATTTGAAACAAGAATATGGAAATTTAATTACAATTATTTCATTATTATCAATAATGCCGTCTGGACTTGCTCCCAAGTATTGATGTTTTTCATAAATAAATCCTCCTTTTACTGCAAAATTAATTCCCTTTCCTCCAACAAATTTGGCTACGTTTGAATTATATGTCTCTGTCATGTTTAATAATAAACTGTGGCTGTTTTGAACCAGCCTATTATCAGATTAAAAGAGAGAGAGAGATATGCTTTATTGTCGTAAAAATATTTACAAAAATTTTATAGACAAAGCGTGTAACTTAAATACTAAACATATTATAAAAATAACTAAACAGCAGAAAAAACAAACAGAAACAAACAGACAAAATAGGAATAACAATTGCAATGGATATGCAATATCCGTCATTATAATTATTCTAATTTAATTTTTAAATTTAAATTTAAACTTTAATATTTAATTATTTAATTAATGCCATTGTAAGTGGAACTCAAATGTCTAAAGTACGTTATAAAATTCTGCTACTGTGTAATATGGTCTTTCTAGAAGAAAAGCTTTAGCCAGTCTTCGGAACTTATCGTATGTATTTATAGATTTTAATTGCATCGGAAGGTTATTATACAATTTTTTGGCATTGTAGGTAATGGAATGTTTTAATAGGTCAGAAGTGGGCATTGTTAAATAAACATCAGTCTCTAAATTTCTTGTAGGATATCTACGAGTCGGTCTTTCGGATAAATTTTGAATGTGCTTGCGAACTAAGCAGACGGATTCGAAAATAAATAGAGCAGGAAGGGTTAGAATTTTGAAATTTTTGAAGTAATTTTCGCAATGTGTCCTACTACTTAAACCAAATATTGCTCTTTTTTGCAGTTTAAAAATAGATTCGAAAAGGTATAAGCTACAAGAACCCCAGAAAGGTAAACCATAGCGAAGGTGAGATTCGAACAAGGAAAAGTAGGTTATTAATGCAGTAGAAGGAGTCAGCTCTTTAGAAACCGATTTAATGGCAAAACATGCGGAGGATAATTTTTTTGCTAAGGTATCTATATGAGCAGACCATTTTAGAGAATTGTCTATATAAAGACCTAAAAACTTGATTGAAGTCACCGTTTGGATCAGATTATTGTTTAGAGTTAGAGGTTGTAAAGTACCTCTGTAAGACAATGCTACAGTTTTACTGGTGTTGAAACAAAGTCCATTCGAATCAGACCAGGACTTAATAGTCACTAGATCTTCACTTATGATAGATTGTAATGTCTGTATGTTAGAATTATTCCAGGTTACACTGGTGTCATCAGCAAATAAAGTAATTCTACCACTTATTCTTAAGTCTGTGATGTCGTTGATGAATAATAAAAACAAAATTGGACCTAATACTGATCCTTGAGGTACTCCACTGCTTATTGCTAGATTTGTAGAATCCTCACCATTCGCCCGCACCTCTTGATTTCTATTTTCTAGGTAAGTTTTAAACCATTGTAAAGGAGAACCCCGTATGCCATAAATCTGTAACTTATTAATTAAAATATCATGATTTACACAATCGAAGGCCTTTGCGAAGTCACAAAATACTGAAGCGGTGAAAAGTTTATCATTAAGTGAAGTGTATATTTCATTAAGACTTTTTTTAGAGCTGTACGGGGTATCAAAAATTTGGCAAATACTGCTTCGTGGTCTGAGAGATCTGAACTAATTACTTGGTGCTCTACATCAACGGGTTTAAAATCAGAGACTACGTAATCTATAATTGTAGATGTTGTTTCTGTGATTCTAGTTGGAGAATTTACGTGCATAGTGAGACTGAATAATTCAAAAATATTGATCAAAGACTTTTGAGTAGCACATACATTAGCAAAGTCAATATTAAAATCGCCGCATAAAATTTTCTTACTTTTTATAGGCAATGCGTCAAGTAGATTAAGAAGATTCTCTAGAAAGAGGTGAACATTTGATTTAGGTGTTCTATAAATACAAATAATAAACAAATCAATGTTTTTGTTGTTTACAATGGAAAATTCGAAGAAATTTTCAGCTTGTAGAAAGTCGTATTTAGATACAGCAGAAAAGTCCTTGTCTAAGGATAAAATTAGAGTTCCACCATGGTCTGTATTACTATGTACTGTGGTCTGTAATAATATGACCCTCGGCTTGGTCGGAAAGCAACATTTTCAAAAGAAGATGAAAAAGAGTTAGCTGACCACGTTATTACGTTGGCTAAAACATTTTTTGGAATCACACAACAGCTACGAAACCTGGCTTATAAGTTCGCGGTTGCAAAGAATATTAAACACATTTTTTCTACAGAGAAAGGCATGACAGGCAAATGCTGGGTGTATGCGTTCTTAAAAAGAAATCCCGGGATCTCTTTACGACTTCCAGAGCCAACGAGCATCAACAGAGTGTTGGGTTTTAACAAAACTGAAATAACATTGTTTTTTCGCAATCTAGAAGAAATGACAGAGAAGCATGCCTATCCAGCCAAAAAAATATTTAATGTTGATGAAACAGGCATTTTAACTGTTCAAAGGTCTGGAAAAATGTATGCACCTAAAGGAGTTAAGCAAGTAGGCAAAATTACAAGCGGAGAGCGTGGGCAAAATGTCACAGTTGTCTGTGCCATAAATGCATCAGGATGTTCATACATCCCTCCCATGTTTATATATCCACGCCAAAGAATCAAGCCAAGTCTTAAGGTTGGAGGGCTCATTGGAGCAGAATATGAGTGCTCAAAATCAGGGTGGATCAACAAAGAACTTTTTGAGAAATGGCTTCGTCACTTTGCCAAACACATGAGCAGAATATGAGCGCTCAAAATCAGGGTGGATCAACGAAGAACTTTTTGAGAAATGACTTCGTCACTTTGCCAAACACATTAGTGCAATAACAGAAAATCCAACTCTACTGATTCTCGACAATCATGCCAGTTACTTGTCACTGAAAGCTTATATGTATTGCCGCGAAAATGGGATTCATATGCTGTCTTTGCCTCCGCACACTTCCCATAGGATGCAGCCGCTAGATATCGCTTGTCACAGAGAGTGTGATTTATATATGAAAAACCATCCTTATGAAAAAATCACTCAGGATGCTTTGGCTTCCATTTTTAATAAAGCCTATTTGAGAGTAGCTTTGATGGATAAAGCAGTAAAAGGTTTTGAAGTGACTGGCATTCATCCCATAAACCCTAATGTGTTCGGTGACGACGAGTTTATATCAGACCCAATTGTTGAAGATTTAGCCTCTCAGAATCAAAAGACAATCAATACTAATGACAGCAACCGAAGCACTTTCTACATATGTTGCAAACGAAACTGAACCTATTGCTAGTACTTCGCGTAGTAGTATTTTGCAAGAATTAATTCCAGTGCCTCAAAAAATTCAGAAAATTAAAAGATGTTCAAAGAAACAACACTCCCAAATTTTGACGGCCACACCCCTAAAAGCACAATTAGAAGACAAGGAGAGAAAAAGACTCTTAAAAGAGGAAGTTAAAAAAGTAAAGCAAAGCAGTCGATCTGATATACACCAGTATAATATTATAGATTTATTCCCTTAAGGGCGCGCAATTATCCAACCCTCCCTATATCTCTCCACCCTACGGCAATTCGTAGGTTTTATATATTTTATCACCAAGTTCTTAATATTGAAGGTATTTACGTGATATTTTTTTTGATGCTATATAGTAACTTAAACTACAGTTTTGTAGTATAAAATCAACAAAAAAGTATTACCAAACCGCAGAAAAAAAAAGTATAAATAAGTAACACTACGCTACTGAATTCAACTCGTATGAGCGGTGATGAGTGGCAGGCGGCTTCGATCACGTTTAAATCTGTCTGACCACGCCTACAAACTCAAATTAGTTTCTGCAAATTATGACGAAGTGTGCTCTTCACAAAAAATCGAGCCCTAACAATGTTTTTGGCAGTAATATTTCTGAGAATTTTGTGCCTACTATTTTGAAACTGAACTTTAGCAAGCAATTATTTATGATGAATCAATTTCTGAGATATTGTAAAAGAGTTTGTGGAGAAATTTATACAACTACAGTGTAGAATCTACACAAATAAGAAATTTCCCAAAAAACCTCTGATGCAACTCAAATATGAACAATTATTTTTTCTACAGTAACTCAAACTTATAATTTCTTAATTAAAAACTTGCTTGATGACGGCTTTAAAACCAAATCTAGTATCACCTTAATCTTCAAATTTTTCAATCGCTTTTGATCTAGACTTTCTTAATTCCCTTAGTTGTTAAAAATTAAATTTAAATTTGAAATACAACAAAATCTTTTTCAGGTATGACTCGTTGGGCTGTATACTTTATGGGTTCCCCTGAAGATGCCAAGAAATACTCCTACAAATTAGAATTCACCAAGGGATATCAAATAACCTATAATACAGTTCCTTTGACTTTCAAATCAGTCTGTGATCCAAAATCTGATAAAGGAAGTTCCAAATTTGGAGACCACAACTGCTTCTACATACATAAAACTTTGTTGGATAAATACTGCATAGAAAATGGAGATCTTCATTACAGAGTGTCTATTTATGCGTTACAGGAAGAAGAAGAATACACTAGTGATATTGCGTTGCTTTTTGTTGAAGGTAAAACTAGTAACTGAGGTAAATCTTGACCGATCACTTATTTTAGAATATAGGATGTTATTTTTATCGGTTTTTCATTAATATTCCAAACGCCCTTTTGATCATTTTGATTAAAGTTTTGACAGCTTTTTTGTAGTACTTGGAGTTAGTACTTTTTTAGTCCTAACATATCAAGATTAATTTTAATAGGTGTTTATAGTTGAAAGCGTCGTTTAAACATAATCATTACCAAATAATGGACGATATTTGTAAAACCAGTAACCAAATTCCTTATTTTATGTAACGAGCAAAGCGAGCGAAGCCCCGAAATATAAACAAGTTACACAAAACGCCATTTCGTAACATGGTACATACTCGTACAATACTTTTTTTAAATTTTGACTAGATTATTTATGAAATTGTGTTTGGTAAAAAATTACTAACAACTACGCCACCAATATTACTTTCGTGTATTGTAAGTTGCATAACTTCATTCATTTCATTTAAATATTTATTTTGAAATATAAAAAATATATAAATTAATCTCATTCAAGAAATTCGCTTATTTTGTCATATATTGTGTATTTTGTTTAGAATTTAGAATTTAAGAGGTGGAATGATTTACGATCACACTTCGATTGTCTAAATCTGTAATTTCTGTTGATCACATATTACTTAAGGTTATATGACACACAACATATGTGTATGTTGTGTTGCATATCAGTCAGAACCAATATATACAGGGTGGACCGGATTTAATTTGCGTATACAGAGATCTCGTAAACCGTAAGATATACATTGTCGGTTAAATGGGGAAAAAGTTTCGTATTTTGACGGATAATATAATGGTCCATAGAAGTTCCAGATTTTCCAAATGGTTCCGGAGATATTCGATAAAATCCGAAAAACCTCATTTTCGTTTTTTAAGTCGTGCGTTGTTATTATAAAAGATACAAAAAAAAATTATGCCGAGTTTTTATTAAAAGTCAAGTTCCCTATAATCTGCCATGTCAGAATTTTTATTACGACGTTTCGTATTTACAGGGTTACCTTCAGTTAATTTTTTTTAAATACGGACCTGGATTTTTAACTGTAATTTTTTATAGCTTTTGTATAGCTAATTACAACGATATGTTACACCTTACCATTTTACTATGTTTCGTCTATGAAAATATCATCAGCTCTGTAGCTTCTGATGATACCGTTTCTTACTTGATTAAAACAAAGTAGCTAATTAAATAATAATTACAAAACAAAAAATGCTTAAAATGTGAAATTTTAAATATTATTTGAAACAATACAAGAATTATTTAATTACAAAATGGGTTACAATTTTTTATCAAACATGATTAAGTACAACCAGCAAACAAGACTAATGAAGAACGAATTATGGCTGTACACATTCTACAAATAATAAAGCTAATAACAAAAACATAAAATGAAAAACAAAACGGTCAAGCAATCTATAAATTCCTATCACCTGATTTTCTGTAAAATCTTTCGCTTAGGTTTCTCACACCGTATTTTTTCTATCTTTAATATTTTCATTTTTGCATACATAAGATCTTAACAAAATCATGTTTGCCCTGCATGTCAGTTGTAACTTGTCACCAATATTTCTGTATTAATCTGTAACATCTAATATTACAGTACTTTTTTAGCTTTAAATAATTTAAAATTAAATAAATATTATGGTTCGTTATACTGAAAAAGAGAAGAAAGATATGTATGATGTGTACATAAGATGTTATAGGACTGAGACCCAGTCAGCTCAGACTTATTTAGATTTATACCCTGATAGACAACAGCCAACTAAGAGGATGTTTTCTTATATTTAAAAAAATATGGCAGAGCATAGCAGTGTGAAAAAAAGGAGAACTAGATATCAGGTTCGACATACTGATAATGAAATTAATGTTCTTGCCCAAATACATATTAACCCTGAAAATTTTACTAGGCGAATAGCTAAAGAATGTGTAGTAGGAACCTCCACGGTTAAAAGAATTTTAAAGAAAAATATCACGGGTATAAATTTCAAAAAGTCCAGAAATTACACGCTGGAGACTCTGATAGAAGACTGATGTTTTGTCGTTGGTATAGTAGAAAACTACGCAATGACCGTTCTTTCAACAAAAAGATATTATGGACGGATGAATGCTCCTTTACTAATAGTGGAATATTTAATCCCAGGAACAAGCATTTGTATGCTACTTCTAATTTAATCAGAGAAGTTAGACCACAGTTCCGTTTTACCCAAAATGTGTGGTGTGGACTAATGAATAATCAGATTATTGGGCCGATTTTTTTGGATGGTAATTTAAATCAGTTCCGATACGTACATTTATTGGAGGAAGTACTCGATGAGATGCCCTTACAGACAAGACAAAAACTTCAATACTTTATGCAAGACGGTTGTGGTGCACACAGTGCGAGGAGGGTTGCAGAGTATCTCGATCAATATTTTAGAGGTAATTGGATTGGTACCAATGGACCAATAAGATGGCCTCCTCGATCTCCGTGTCTTAACCCTATAGATTATTTTGTATGGGGCTTCGTAAAGAACCAAATCTACGACAAGAAAATGCCAAATAATCTATAAGAACTTCGTCAACGAATATTAGATGCATTTGAAAAAATTACACCAGAAATGGTTGATAAAAACTACATCCCAAATGTCTAGGAGAATTGCACTCTGTATCCAACAGAATGGACTACATTTTGAGCAACTATTGTGACTGTTTTTGTTTTTGAATTTTGATTTTGTTATTAGCTTTATTATTTGTAGAATGTGTACAACCATAATTCGTTCTTCATTAGTCTTGTTTGTTGGTTGTACTTAAGCCCGTATTTATAAACAGAGCTTACGTGAGTCGGACTTGGGTAAGTCGTCCTTGAACTAAAATCGAAGTTCGGTTACAACGTCTCTAAAGTTCTAGGTGGTTCTGGTGTTTGACTGGAATTTAGAGATGGCTATTAGCAAATATGTAACTGTTATGTACATTTACGGATTTGTTAATACCAATCTCTAAATTCACGCGATATAACCGAACTTCGATTTTCGTTCAAGGACGACTTACCCAAGTCCGACGCACGTAAGTTCTGTTTATAAATACGGGCCTTAATCATGTTTGATAAAAAATTCTAAACCATTTGTGTAATTAAATAATTATTGTATTATGTTTCAAATAATATTTAAAATTTCACATTTTAAGCATTTTTTGTTTTTTAATTATTATTTAATTAGCTATCTTGTTTTAATCAAGTAAGAAACGGTATCATCAGAAGTAGTAAAATGGTAAAGTGTAACATATCGTTGTATTTAGCTATACAAAAGTTATAAAAAATTACATTTAAAAATCCAGGTCCGTATTTAAAAAAAATAAGTTGAAGGTGGCCCTGTAAATACGAAACGTCGTAATACAAATTTTGACATGGCAGATTATAGGAAACTTGATTTGTAATAAAAACTTCGTATAATTTTTTTTTGTATCTTTAATAATAAAAACGCACGACTTAAAAAACGAAAATGAGATTTTTCAGATTTTATCGAATATCTCCGGAACCAGTCGGAAAATCTGGAACTTCTATGGACCATTGTATTATCCGTCAAAATACGAAACTTTTTCCCCATTTAAACGATAATGTATATCTTACGGTTTACGAGATCTCTGTATACGCAAATTAAATCCGGTCCACCCTGTATATGCTTGATCGAGCATGCACGATGCGTTTTCTGGTTCACTCTCTTACTCTAGGTTTGTTCCAACACGCGCAAAAACCGTAATATTACCGTACAAATCATGCGCTTTACCCAAAAATTGTATACATCGCATGAATTGTACGGTAATGAATTGTACGGTAATATTACGGTTTTCGGACGTGTTGGAACAGACCTACAGTATGTCCGTTGCACAAGCCGCAATGTAAATTAGTTATATATTATCTTGTGGTGTAATAAAGTTAAATAAGGTAGTTTTCGAGTTGTTGTTACCCCAGGATATTACAAAATTCTTTTAGATTGTTCTATCTAGTAAGATAATCCATATTTCCTAATCACAAAATTTGACTTGTTTGCCTCTTTTAGTATTCTCCTTAACAGACTGTAATCTCATTGGACCGATCTAAATTTTTAGTTTATTTTGAAATCTATAACTTTAATTCGTAAATATGATTTTTTATATTTTAAAAATCCCTATTATTCAAAAATTTCTTCTTACGTCTTTATTCGTTTTCTTTTTTGTTTATTGCTTACGGACATGGTAAAACTGGCCATGGTACCTCAGAACATTCTTTGTATTGTATATCTGTTAAAAATATTAACATTTTTTTTTTATTTTTTGCAATGCGCATAAGTAAGTTGTTAACTAGAACTGCTTGTGTATGTACCTAATAGTCAAATTTAAAGCCCTTTGATTTTTTTCTCTCAGAAACTGAAAGGAATTAAAATTTTAAAATATATGCATATTCTAGATATTATTGCCTAATTAATTTTGCCAAAATTTTAATTTTTTAAAAGAATTACTTTTTGAGATATCCTTGTCCGAAAATTATAAGGGGGTGCTGTAATCACCTTAATGTTTCCAATAACTTATTCTAATTTTATTTTGTCAGCCTTTTTGTAAAAAGTTTAATACGGCATACTCGTTGGTTTCGTCATACAGTAGTAAAAATTTATGAGTTTTATCACCAGGTAAAGGCACCAGTAGCTTTTGCTACTGGCAACATTTTTCATAGTTGTTGATTGATCTGTCCATGCAAAGATTCGTTTTTGGTTGCTACTTGCTTCTAAATCTGCAGTGTCATCATCTACACCCTATAAAATTTAAAGCTAGGAACATCCGAATATCTAACAAATAAAAAAAAATAACTTACGTCTATGATATTCTGTAATATAATATCATTTTCATCACTTTCGGTTGAATTGCTATCCTCGTCACAGAGATAATCACTTTCACGCCCAGATAAATGACAGTCATTGTCGCTCTCTTCCAGGAATTTCAGATGCTTACGCTCTGTTAATTTATGTCAAATGTATTATTTGTATTTTATTTGTGCTAGACGGCCCAGCTGCTGCTCTATCCATAGTAATTGCTGCACGCACACCTTAACGCTCAGATACCAACAGATACCGATTATTATCCATGCCAAGACACTTGAGACTCCACGACGATTGATTTCCAAATTCCTGTAAATCCCATATTTGTTCTCAGTGGTGAAGCACCTACCTATCAATAACTGTCTGTAGTGGTTCTCAAACTTTTTTGGTGACGGAACTTTTTTGAAAAGCGAAATATTTATTTCTGACGTTAAATTTGTTTTATAGGTTCCAAAAACTTTCCTTGACAGAACAATGAAGATTTTTTATACTCGTACGTTGCTGTTTTGACATTCTATGTTTTTTGGAGGAATCAAAACAGCAGAAGAATGTTTGGAATAAAGTTATTAGTTACCGACTTATCCAAAGCCGATTTGAAGTTTTATTTATTTTTTAACTTAATTAGGTTATCGATTTTGCAATATATATGTTTTTTTACTAGTAGTATTGGTTATTGAAATATGAAAATGTTAAAAAAGAATTGAAATATTTTCGTATTGATTTTTTAATGTTAGTTATTATATCAGTCTGCCAATACTTTGTATGTATTATTATTAATAAATAAATTTGTTCATAAATATATTATTTCATTTAAAAATAAAAGATCTACCCATTTATTGGAGTTCATGTATATGATTTTCCTAAAAACGTAAAATTCAATAATTTACTAATTTTCGCATAGTAAGCTAGAAGACAAATAGGAATATATTTTAAAGCCAGAGAAACTGATTTTTTTTTTTCGATAATAGATATTAACCAAATGGTAAACCACTTGGGCTAGTCCTGTCTGTGTCCCGAATAAAAAAAAAATAAAAAAAATAAAAAAACACTGGGGAAATCCTATACAATCTTATACTATTTTGTATTGTAATAACTGAAAAAGCAAGGACAACTCAATTATAAAATAAAATACAGGGTGACCCATTTAGAAAAAAAGAAACAAACTGATATTTGTCACTTTTTTGGATAACCCTGTATTATTGAAATTAATTTAAAATTGTTTTCTACTCTGACATACACCTCGCTGTGAAAATAGATTAAAAAATAAATAGTTTTCTCTCTACAGATCGAGACGTTACCGATGCCTTACCCTGTATATTATTGTCACGTTATACGTGGTTTTTATAAAACAAAGTGTCACGATTTACGTGTTTTAAATAATGACGGGACTATCTATGTCCCGGGGGTTAAATAACAAAATATATATGAATTTGGGACTTAATCACAAAAACACTATTTAGCCTTAAACTTGGCTTCGTAGCCCTTAACTGTATAAGGGTTCTACTCTTGATGTTAGAACCTGACACGTCTCTGTGAAAGGGCTGAAGGAAACACAATGTTTTCTCAAAACAAATATAATATTAAAATTACAACGATTATACAAAATATGTCTTAACTCGACATACACAAATATGGGGCTCAATATAATATTAAGATACAAAAAATATTAACTTACCAACTCCAATTTTGGGGCACATGTCACAACTCTTGCCTGACTAAAACGCAATTATTCAAAATACTAATAAACGACTTTTAATTTAAACTATAAAGATTATGATCTGGAGCTGCTACAGGGAATCTCCTACAAGGGGGACCTCCTATGGGGAGGATCCGTTCCCTGTCGAAAAAGCCTCGTGCATCCCCTCTACATTACCTTTATAACTTTCTCATAGTTTATTGTTATTAAAACTAATGTTTAATAATTAATAAATAACCAACCTTGCACATTATTGCTATTTAAAACAAATTGTTGACATAATTAAACAAAGTTTTATGTACAGGATGTTATTTAAATAATTAATTAAAATTAGGAAAAATATGAATTTATACGAATCGTGACATTATTATTATAAATATATTATTGTATATATAAATTTTTAAATTCAGCTTTACTATCTCTGTACGTAAATTACGGAAAGTAGGCAACGAATATAAATAAACCACATCCTTGGTGACAAAAACGTAGTCCCAGTTTTCGTGTCGACAACAACTCCAAACTTGCAAACTGCTTTCAACGGTAACATTAGAAGAAACATTATCTGAAGGCATAAGAGACATTTAAAGACATTCCCAACAAAATTGTTCTCGCGAAATATCCCCCACAGAAAATTCTAAGTGTCGAGAAAAAGTTTCAAACTGCAAAAATATGTGCCCGAGAATATTTTTAAAAGTCTTGATGAAACCCAGTCGTCATATTAGACGTAGAACGGGTGTTATTAAAATTATCGTTTGAATTTTTTACTAAGATCATTTTGGCTAAAGTATGGAATAATAAGGATTGCTGCAGTCACGTTTAAAATGGTAAAAGTAAAATGCGGCAAGTTGTTAAAGAGATATAAAGAAAATTATCTGCATTGAAAATTTCAGCAATATTTAAGAGGTGAGGTGCAGTCAGATGCGTGAAAAAGGAGTATTTTTAATAATTTTTTCTATTTCATCATTATTAAGTTTATTTTGTAAAACTGTACCGCTGCAGTCATACTCAATTTATCATATTTGACTAAATAACAAATCATATTAAAAATTACAACTATTCACACTCTATCTTGCAGGTAAAAAATCACAACTTAACCAATTCTAAAAAAAGTTATTCTCACTGTAACCCAAAATAAAGGTTCTTTTAATCTTATGTCTATACAGACATTGCGTTCGGCCTGCCAAGTTCCTTTAACTCCTTTAACACTTTTTACTCCAAACGACCCTTTTAGCGTTCGGTTTTGTCCGATTAGTGACAGTTTAACACGATTAAATGCCATTTAAAAGCACCCTAAAAAACTCCGCTTTTGTCCCGCTCCAGCCCCTGACTATCCGAACTCGCCTAGAAAAGAATGTAAAAACATATTTGAAATAAGAAGAAAAAGAAGATTTTCTAACTTAACCAAAAACTTCACTTGTCCTTTGTCTTTATATTGCCATACTAAAAGCACATGTATTAGTAAAGTATTTTTAACATCTTTCTTCAGTTTTTACCCCATTCTCAACAACTTTAACAACAAAGAAATCACCATAAAGGAACCCAGTGCATACCTAGAGAAACAAATCTTGTATATTGATGGATATAAGACTGTGGAATCCACTGGAACTGAAATATCTGTTAAATATTTTTACAACAAACAAGAACAAAATATTGGAAAGCTACAAAAAACGAACAGATTCGTATGATGCTATACAGTCAGGACACATCGAGACAAAAGTAGATGGGCTATGTTCGTATAGGCCACATACTTTGATTTTCTTTTACTATACGGAGAATGGTCGCACTGCGCAACTTTCTGAGTGCCTTTTAAAAGGAGATAGAAAACTACGCCATTTTGATACCTTATTACGTGTTGCCTACATCTTGGCGCAATGTTTTTAAATATCAGGTGCGTTTTAATCATCCGCTTCTGCTTCGGAATTGTCGGTTTTCTTGTTTTAATCTGACAGGTTAAAACGAGTAAACCGACAATTCCGGAAGCAGAAGCGAATGATTAAAACGCACCTGATATTTTGCTTGCGGCTGTCAGTGTCAGTGAATATTATTTTTGGAGTCACAGTTTATTGCTAAAGAATCAGTTAGCTCACTCGGACCAGTTGAAAGTTCCAAAATAACATCCACTCCAGGGATACAAATTGAGAATACGCAGAAGACTGCTGTTTTATTATAGGCGGTTGTCATATATTGTATTATCCGAGTTGCGCAGTGTATAAACTGGAACATTGAGATCAAAAGTGCCAACGCAGAGTGAACGATTTGATTCTTTAGCTATAAACTGTGGCATAGGAACCAAAATGGCCACGCCCTATGTTGGGCGTGTCGGACCTCTCTCTTGCACCGTCTAGTAATCAAAGCCGAGAATACCGATCAAGGAGAAGCGACAGCTTGGTGTTTTCAGTGTACCGTTTTGTAACGCGCATGTGCGAAAATAAGTTGTTTATCACTCAAAATTATGTTATCTGTCAAAGTCAGTGCAAGTTGTGTTTAGTACGTGAGCAATGTTAAGTGATATTTTTTGGTGTTTGTTTTGTGTAGTAATAAGATGAAGATTTTTACACACTTAGGTATTCTAATACAGATATAAAATGTGCCAAAAAAGTTATTTAGTTAACTAAGAATTTTATCACATGCATAAATATTAAGTATAATGATTTAATCATTTTTGACATTTTATCTTTTATATGTAGGTATTGTATTTTGTGAAATATATATTTTTCTTCTTTTAAATAAATTTAATAAACAATGAACTGCAGATTTTGTTTATTTTATTTTGAAATTATATTTAAAAAAAATATAATAAATTCGCGTATTTCAATTAGGATTGTTCAAAGTGGGCAGAATCCCTTTATTATGGCTAAATTGTAAGTTACAATTATGTCAATATAAAGATGTTTTGCCCATTTATATTTACATTTATTGAATAAATCATACTGGAGTTGATTTTGGAAATATTGGTGCATACTTAAATAAGTACTATTTCTAAAAATTTTAGATCTATTTGAGGGTCAGGACGTCCATATCCGGGCATCTACTATACGTCCGTTTATGCTAATTAAATTGACAGCTGAATATCGATACACAGAGAACGTCTGTTTTTGGACTTAATTTTAAATTTAGTAGTATTTTGACGTCCAGTGGACGTCCATCTTAGGTCATTATTTATTAAGCCTACCAGATAATACCCATCTATATATACTTCTTTTTTTAATATAACTGGTCATTAAAAATTGACAAATTGAATCTATTGCATTTCATTCTATCAGCGAAAGTTTGAAATCTTATTCAATTATAACTGTATCTATTTAAAAGTTTTCAAGTGGTTCCTTGGTCGAGCTCTTCTAGCGATTGAAAGCGTAAAACGATAATGGATGTGTCGTGAGTTCGATTCCTGCTCAGGTCAAGCGATTTTTAATAAAAAATAAATAAATGGTGTATAGCGATTTGCGAAAATAATAAACAAATTATTAATAATATAAAATAGTGTGTGGTGAGTTGCGGTTCTGTAAAAAAGTGGGGATGTGGTCTCAATGGAAATATAATCTTGGGCGTTTTTTGAATGTCCAGTATTCGACGTCCAAATATATTCCAAAAAGTTATTAGGAAACTAAGAATTTTATCACATGCATAAATATTAAGTATAATGATTTAATCATTTTTGATATTTTATCTTTTATATGTAGGTATTGTATTTTGTGAAATATATATTTTTCTTCTTTTAAATAAATTTAATAAACAATCAACTGCAGATTTTGTTTATTTTATTTTGAAATTATATTTAAAAAAATATAATAAATTCGCGTATTTCAATTAGGATTGGTCAAAGTGTGCCATTTGTATACTTCACTGTACGTCCATTAGATGTCGGATGTCTAGAAAACTCATTTTTGGACGTCTAGA